GAATGCAGCACAGACCTCTACTATAGCTCCTCAGGTCCCTGAATGCAGCACAGACCTCACAGAAACAGCCCATTAAACTGAGGTAACGTGTAGAATGGCTGACACTGAATATTTCTGACGTTGATGTGACCCCCTCTGATCCCTGACGTCTCATCTGGGTTTTATCGGGGTTCTGAGAGATCTGGGTCCCCCTTACATGTGAGTGGAGTCACAGAGACGTTCTGAAGTCGTTGTGAGGATCCGTTGGATGACTCTCTGAGTGGGTGAGCCCTTAAAAGCCGCCAGTTTTGGGGCTTGTGTTGATGAACCGTCAATCTGAGAGAACCGTTTCCTGCCTCAAACCGGGTCACTGGTCAGAGCTCCTCCGGCTCTCCGTGTCCTCCTGCTGCCTCCCTTTATTTCCTGTTTTATATGCAGCCCATTTGGCAGGAGAGGCTCTTCACAGCCCACGGGTCTCTGATGGGTGCTCGTAAAGAGCGCCGGGTCAGCGCTGTCACTTTGCCGCGGTGCCGCTCCATCACGCCGGCCGGCTGACCACAGCCCGTTACACGGACACAGCTCGTTAAGCTTTGGAGGTCACAGGTAGTTCCTGGGAGCTGTTTGTGTGGGAGAAACCCGACCCCTGCTGAGGCAGTCATCTGGTTACACATTACTGTCTTCGTCAGAGTCACATGACGCCCGCTGTGATGATGTCATCCAGGATGGACCGCAGGGTCATGTGATTACAGCAGGATCTGGGGAGCAAATTCAGGAGTTATTACACATTTTCCAGATGTAGCCTCTCCTCCCAGGATGTGGGAATACTTGAGGGGTGATGTCTTTATAGGAGGCCAGCGATATTTTCTTGGAATATCTGCAATATTTACTCGGAAATCTGGGATTTTGTGTCTGTGGACACAGTGTTTCATTGGTCCTGACAAGTTCTGAGTTCAGAAAACATGTGTTTTTTTATTTGAGCCGTCTCCTTTAGCTTAACAGAAACAGCTCCTTAGGTCCCTGAATGCAGCACAGAGCTCACAGAAACAGCTCCTCCGGTCCCTTTTCCAGATGTAGCCTCTCTTCCCAGGATGTGGGAATATTTGAGGGATGGTGTCTTTATGGGAGACCTGCGATATTTTCTGGGAATATCTGCAACATTTACAAGGAAAATCTTGGATTTTGTGTCTTTCATTGGTCCTGACAAGATCAGAGTTCAGAAAACATGAGTTTTGTTACGTCTCCTTTAGCTTATCCTTACCAGAGCTGTGTGGGTGACCCCCCCCTCTGCTGTCAGCCTGAGTCTGTGGTCCAGACTCTGACCCCGGCCCCTGACGGGGAGCCTCAGCTGGACTCACCCAAAAGCTCAGCGTGACTGTAGCGACTGGTCCTCCGAGCTGTCCTCATCGTCTAATGGCCGGGGTATTAAAGCGCCGGCTCTTTAAATCTTGTGGATATGAGGCCAGGCAGTCACAGCCAACGCATCAGTCTGCAGAGATGCTGTTAGCGTGATGAGCTCTGCCGCCGCCCGCTCCTCACCTCCATTACACAGCCCTGATGGGCCCGCGTCCCAGCCCCAAATTAAAAGAAGAGAGCCGAGTCCTTGACGATGAGGCTTGGTCGGTGGAAATTAGCCTAAGTGTTGTCATTAATATTTCCCGGCGCGGGCTAATGTCTGCATCATAATGTTAAGAACAGGATATCCCCTCAGTATCTGCTGAGGGAGGCTCTTTAGGGAGTTGGAGGAAACCTTTATGTGTTCAGAGATGAAGGCTAATGTTCAAAGTTTTAGATTTAGTGAGCTGCAGTTATGGGGGAGAGCGGCTATCAGCGCTCCATCACCAGATCGGGGAGCTGGAGCCATTGCTTCATTTCAGTCTCCAAAGAACCAAAGGTGAGCTGAGCAGAGTCGGAGGCTGAATCCTGTTGGATTCCCTGAGTTCAGACCTCAGAATAAAGCTGTTAGCAGGCACAGACGGACTGAGAGGACGGAGAAGAAGAGCAGGTTCATCTTTATTCCATAAGCCTGTTTGTGGAGTAAAGCTGGATGAAAGGAAGGTCAGGTCAGGGAATAACCTGTCTGTGTCTCATCGGAAAGATGGAAATAGAAACCAGAGTCATCACCCTCCTAACAGCCTCCTAAAGACCTCCTAACAGACCTATCAGACCTCCTAACAGACCTCCTATCAGACCTCCTAACAGACCTCCTAATAGACCTCTGAAACACGTACAGTTCCTCCTATCAGAACAAACTAACCTGTAACTTTTAGAATCTTTACTGCTCCTCTTTGCTCATGAACAAACCAAGCTGAAGATGAGCCGTCTAATAGCCCCCTGATGTCCCCCAAAATGTCCCCCTTGTTACTTCTCCTGTCAGTCTCTTTGGGAAAATGCTTCTGGATGTGAGGAGGACCATCAGGGAAAGAAGAACCATGAATATCTGGGCTGAAGCATTTCCTCTCCTTTTTCTCAGACTCTCAGTGATGGATCCACCCTCCCTGAAGGCCTTCATCAGGAGCAGGAGGAGGAGGAGCTGGAGGAGGAGGAGAAGGAGCTGATCCTGGATGGAGGTCTCCCTCGCTACGTCTCCTCTCTGACTTCTGACCGGGAGATGGCTGTGGATGAGGAGGAGGTGGAAATGGAAATGGAAATGCAGGAGAGGGCAGAGGAGAGGCCAGGCTCCCTCACCAGGAAGGCGCCTCCATCATGGGAGGAGTGGAGGCTATCCTCTGTCAAGCCCAGCGGGGGGGAGGAGGTGAGCGGAGCAGCTGGAACTGAAGCCTCTGAAGGTCCTGGTCCAGAACCAGAGCTCTGATCCTGGTTCTGCTTTCAGCCCGTGTGGGGAGAGGAGGAGGACAGCTGGGACAGAGACAGCCTGGCCTCTGTGGGGAAGCTGATTCTGGGTGAGAGCCTGCACCAGGGTTAGGGTTAGGGTCAGGGTGGAGGGTTAGAGTTAGGGTTATGATTAAGGTTAGGGTCAGGGTTATGATTAAGGTTAGGGTCAGGGTTAGGGTTAGGGTGGAGGGTTTAGGGTCAGGGTTATGGTTATGGTTATGGTTAAGGTTAGGGTTAGGGTCATGGTTATGGTTAAGGTTAGGGTCAGGGTTATGGTTAGGGTTAGGGTCAGGGTTAGAGTTAGGGTTAGGGTTAGGGTTAGGGCGGGGTCTGACTGCCATGTGTTTCAGGTCTTCCAGAGTCCAGAGACAGCGAGGCGGACTCGGAGCTCACGCTGACCGACACCGACACCGAGTTAGTACCACCCCCCCCAGTGTTCAATGTCCAGTAGGTCTCCCAAAGAGCCTCCCCCCAAAGGAAGCTCTAAAGACCCCCCCTAACCCAAAGGAAGCTCTAAAGAGCCCCCTAACCCAAAGGGAGCTCTAAAGAGCCTCCCCCCTGACCCAAACAGGATGTGAATCACAGGCCCGTTAGAGGCTGAAGTGTGTTTGAACCCAGAGCTGCAGCTGTGTGGCGGAGCTGTGGCGCCCCCTGCTGGTTAAACAGCCGGGACAGCCGTCAGAAGCTGGTGATGTCATCAGGGCACATACTCACCTGTGTTTTCCTCCTCTGGAGGGCGGTCAGAGCGGTGGACACAGCCAGGAGGAAGAGGCGGAGCCACGGCAGCTTTCTACCAACGAGGGCCGTCTCCAGGTGGGCAGCAGCCTCGTCTGTGGGAGGGGCTTATTATCGGGTTACCTGATTAGCTTTTTAATGGTTTAGCAGGTTACCTGTTTAGCTTTTTGATAGTTTACCTGTTTAGCTTTTTACCGGTTTACCTGATTAGCTTTTTAATGGTTTAGCAGTTTACCTGTTTAGCTTTTTACCGGTTTACCTGATTAGCTTTTTAATGGTTTATCTGATTAGCTTTTTAATGGTTTACTTATTTAGCTTTTTAATGGTTTAGCAGTTTACCTGTTTAGCTTTTTAATGGTTTACCTGTTTAGCTTTTCAATGGTTTACCTGATTAGCTTTTCAATGGTTTACCTGATTAGCTTTTTAATGGTTTACTTATTTAGCTTTTTAATGGTTTACTTATTTAGCTTTTAATGGTTTAGCAGTTTACCTGTTTAGCTTTTTAATGGTTTACTGGTTTAGCTTTTTAATGGGTTACCCATTTAGCTTTTTAATGGTTTACCTGTTTAGCTTTTCAAAGGTTTACCTTTTTAGCTTTTTAATGGTTTACCTGATTAGCTTTTTAGTGGTTTACTTATTTATCTATTTAATGGTTTAGTCGTTAAGCTGTTTAGCCTTTTAATGGTTTACCTGTTTAGCTTTTTAATGGTTGACCAGTCTAAGGGTCTAACAGCTGAGTCTTGTCCACAGGGACCTGCCTGAGAGGGAGGAGGGAGAGGGGGAGGAGACTCCAGCCTTCAGCCACTGGGCCCCCCCCCCGCAGGTACCCCCCCCCCAGTGGAGAGTCTTGGTGACCTGGGTGCTATCTGCTAACCCTGACCCTGACCCTGCAGGGTGGAGGTGTGGCCTGAGGAGGGCCAGTCTCTGGGTCTGAGCATCGTGGGGGGGCGACATGTCATCAAGCGGCTGAAGAACGGGGAGGAGCTGAAGGGCATCTTCATCAAGCAGGTGCTGCCAAACAGCCCTGCCGCCAAAACCCGGAGCCTGAAGACCGGGGACAAGATCCTGGAGGTGGGCTCCACCCCCTCTGCTCCGGCTCCCAGGCCCCCGCTGGAGCTCTGTTTTCTGAGGCTCAGTGAAGGCCTCATGCCTTCAGAGGCTCGCTCTGAGCCTCCCCTCTGTCCCTCAGGTGTCGGGGGTGGACCTGCGAGCGGCCAGCCACGAGGAGGCGGTCTGCGCCATCAAGTCGGCGCCCAGCCCCATCGTGTTCGTGGTCCAGAGCCTGCTGGCGACGCCCCGGGTACGGCCCAGACCTAGCCCCAGAGCCTGAGCCTGACCCTAACCCTGAGCCTGACCCTAACCCTGAGCCTGACCCAGACCTAGCCCCAGAGCCTGAGCCTGACCCTAACCCTGACACTAACCCCGACCCTGAGCCTGAGCCTGAGCCTGACCATAACCCTGAGCCTGACCCAGACCCAGACCCAGACCCCGAGCCCCAGCCTGACCATAACCCTGACCCAGACCCTGTAGAATCCGTCTGCACTGGTCCAGTTTGCCTCTGGACCTGTTCTGATTCAGAAGAAAAAAGAAGGCTGGACCCTCCCAGCTTCTGGCAGCTGGAAGGGTCAGACTGGTGTTCTGAGGCTCGAACCCGGCCGGGTCCAGCTGATGTGTGTGTGTGTGTGTGTGTGTGTGTGTGTGTGTGTGTTGCAGCCCATGTCCCTGACCGCCTCCAGCTTCAGGCCCAAAGTGAAGAGGACGGCGTCTCCGGGAAGGGGGGCCGTGAGTCCAGCAGGGGGCAGCACCAGCTCAGCTCAGAGCGGCTTCCAGGTGTGACGCCTCCTCTGTTTCCAGATGTTGCTTTTCCCTAAAGAGAAGCAGATGTTCTCAGTTCTGAAAGAGCCCGGCTGTCTGGTTTAGAACCACCAGTTCTGTGGTCTTGGGTCTGGAGCCTTTTACAAGCTTGGAAAGATAAAGAAAGTCTAGATAGAACTTGTAGAAACAGCTGTGAGAAAGCCTTTGAAGGCACTCCCAGCATGAATCCATTTTCTCAAATGTGTAATCCGGATCACAGATATGACAGAAATCTGTGATGATCCGGGGCTGGTTCTGAGCCTCCTGTGTTTGTTTGTTTACTCAGCAGAAGCCTGCCGTGGCCCCGCCCCCCCTCAAGCAGCCCCCGCCCTACAGGCCTCCCGTCCAATCAGAGCAGGAGCTGGTGTCGGACCTGGACCAGGTCAGAGGTGAGAGCACACCTGTCTGATGATGTCATCCTGGTTCCATGACCGAGCCAAACGGGACCCTGACTGGACCCAGGAGGCCCTGCAGGCCCACAGCAGAACCAGAGTCGGGTTCTGGATATATCAGTACTGTGTGTAGGATCTTGTCTGGGTTGACGTGGTCTGGTTTTCATCAAAGGCAGATAAGGCTCTGATGTGTCCTGGGGTCAGTCAGAGCTGGTCAGTGTTGGATGGCCTTCAGTTGAGGTTCATCTGCTCGGTACCAGAGATCCCAGCAGGTCATTGGTTTTTATCCAACCCATAGGATTTCACAACTTCTAAAGTCATCCAACCAGGAGACCCAACCCAGAGAACCAAACTCACCCTGACCCAGTGTCTGGACCCACAGACCCGACCCAGAATCCAGAGTCCAGATCAGCCCTCCTCCTTCACCCCCCAAAGAGTCTCTGCTGCCTCTCGTTTTCAGTCCTGCATTATCCCCAAAATGTGTTTTTTCTTTCTTCAGCCACTTAACTGGGTGGGTTCCCAGTGTGGAACCAGGACCATGTGGGTGGGTTCCCAGTGTGGAACCGGGACCATGTGGGTGGGTTCCCAGCGTGGAACCGGGTCCGTGTGGATGGGTTCCCAGTGTGGAACCGGGACCATGTGGATGAGTTCCCAGTGTGGAACCGGGTCCGTGTGGATGAGTTCCCGGTGTGGAACCGGGACCATGTGGATGGGTTCCCAGTGTGGAACCGGGACCATGTGGATGGGTTCCCAGTGTGGAACCGGGTGAGCAGGTCTGGGCTGATCCAGCTGGTCTGATCTGTGTGTTTCTGTCTTTCAGGCCTGGTTTGAGCCGCCTCCGTCCCGCCCTGACCTCTGTCTCTGGTCGTTCTTTGTGCCCGGCTTTCCGGGTTTCCTCGCCGCCTCGGCCTCCTCGGTGCGTCGGGCTCGGTTCTGGGCAGGGAGCCGTGGGGGGGCTGGTTGGGTTTTACTGGGATGTGGCGTCTTTGGGTTGTAGATGAGGTGGTCCCTCTACCCCAGATTTAAAGCTCTGTCAGCTGGAAACATTCTAACAATTGATTTATTTTTTAATAATCTTTTCACGATTTATCCTTTTTGAAATGACCTGATTAAATGTGAAAATCATGATTGAACTTAAAGATAAGAATGATGTTTAATCTGAGCCACCCAATCACTGTTAGTCTTTAAACCAGAATCATCTTTGTTATTCCGGAGAAATCTGTCTAATTGATAAAAGTTAACAATCAAATGTCAATAAAATGGTTTAATAAAAACTACCATGAATTAAAGCCTCCATTATCTTAATTTATAGTCATTTGAGAACAAATCAGAGAAATTAACAGCTGAGAGAAAAAGTGTCGACCAAACTGAATTATTTGGGCTTAGAGGCTCGGTGGGGCTGAAGTTTAAAGTCCATTTAGTAGCAGAATAATGATATTTTCTGGACGTCACTTTCAGGGCTGTAGAGACACACGTGGAAAATGAAGCTTTCAGCATATTTAGAGATAGAAACAGAACAGACAGCAGAAGAGTCACCTGCAGCTTTAACCGCAGACAAAACAAAGATGGGGACTAAATCTGATGCTTCCAGCTGGGGGGGTTGAACAAAGCCTGTTAATGTCAAATGTGAGGAACCATTTGCTCTAAAAGCTTCACCGGGACTGAACAGGAGGATTAAGGTGGTGGTGGGGGGGGCTGCAGCTGCTGCTGGGGCTCAGAATGAGTGAGAGTTACGGCAGCAGAAGAATCCAGCGCAGCCATAAAGGCAGAAACGCCTCTCTAAAAGGTTCCTGCTCACAGTTACAGCAGAGCTCTGCCCCCCCCGGGCTCTGGACTCTGACTCAGTTTACAGCATCTGGGCTAGGTGAAGCCGTTCTCCTGGCTGAGCAGCAGCTGGGGGCCTGACACGGCTAATCCCTTTAGTCAGATCAGGTGAGTCAGAGCTCAGGCCGGAGCGCGCCCCAAACCAAAGGGAAGGCTGGAGGAGTGGAAGCTCCACATGACCTGAACTGTTCAGATCCAGACTGAGAGGCTTCCCAGTGCAGATAGAAACACCAGTAAATCCATTCATATGCAGAGTGCTGGTTCCAGAGGCTGGAGGCTCGATTGGCTGGGAGCAAGTGAAGCTCCTCAGCAAAGTTCCTCAGAAGGTTCAGAGTCTCCAAAGGTAATCACATCAGAGGGGTTGGAGAAACTGGGTCAACATTAAGGGAACGCGCTCTTTTCCCAGGAGCTGCTGCTGACTCTGCTTCAAAGGGATGGAAGGAAGTCACAGCAGACTGATGAACATTAACCTCTGACCTCCAGCTTGTGAACCCCTAAGAGCCAAAAAGCTTCAATCAGCTCTGTCTGAGGATCTGAATGTTTACTCAAACATGAAAACTACTGCCCCAGACTCTGTCAGGATAAATCTCTGGTTCTTTGGTGTTCTCGGGTATTCCTGGTCCTCTGGTGTATCTGGTCCTTAGGTTTTTTTGTTCCTTGGGTGTTCTCAGGCATTCCTGGTTCTCAGGTGTTCTCAGGTGTTTCTGGTCCTCAGATGTTCTCAGGTGTTCCTGGTCCTCAGGGGTTCTCAGGTGTATCTGGTCCTCAGATGTTCTCAAGTGTTCCTGGTCCTCAATGGTTCTCAGATGTTTCTGATCCTTCGGTGTTCTCAGGTATTCCTGATCCTCAGGTGTTCCTGGTCCTCAGATGTTCTCAGGTGTTTCTGGTCCTCAGATGTTCTCAAGTGTTCCTGGTCCTCAGGGGTTCTCAGATGTTTCTGGTCTTCAGGTGTTTCTGGTCCTCAGGTCTTCCGGGTCTTCAGATGTTTCTGGTCCTTGGGTGTTCTTAGGTATTCCTGGTCCTCAGGGATTCCTTGTCTTCAGGTGTTGTCAGGTGTTCCTGGTCCTCAGGTGTTCCTCGGGTCTTCAGGTCTGTCATGGAGACTTCACAGGCTGAAGGGACGATCTGATGAAAAGCTGAAGGTCCAGCAGGTTTCCAGCATCACTGACTGTGTCGGCAGGAGGCCCCTAACTCAAGGGCTGAGCCAGTCTGGGACCTTCAGGCTCTTTGTCTCAGAGACTCATCATCTGTTCTGGAGCTGATGGAGGACAATCGGCTGTGAGTGAGTTAGTGTTTCCTCTTTCCTTCTGTCGAGGCCCCCCCCCCCCCTCCACCCCCCCCCCCCCCTTGTGGTTCCTGCTGCTTCTCTCTGCAGTGTCTGACTGCAGGTCTCCTCTGAACCAGCTGCTGCTGCATTTGCTCTCTCATATTTAGCATTTTGTCCTGGCAGCCATCAGGTCAGCAGAGGCAGACTGAGCGTTCTCCGTCTGGGGGGGGGGGGGGGGGGCTCGGCTTTCCCTCATCTGCTGCAGAGCTTTGCATTAAACAGCCGTCTGGCGGGTTCAGACTCACCAGCCTCAGCCTCACTTCCTCTGATCAGGAATCAGAGGCCGGCCTATCTGGTGAGGAAAAGTAGTCCCCTCCACACTAGAGAGCGCTGACCCCCCCAGCAGAGGCCCACAGCAGCTGTGGGGTTGCTGCAGTTTTCCCAGATTAAGGAGACAAAGCAGCTTCTGGACAGCTGAGCGGAGGCGGGGCTGCCTGACATCTGGACAATCCTTTTGTCCATCCTTCTCAGGTGGTCGTAATCTGGGTCACCTGCTGGGTTCTTTCTGTAGTTCCTGCCTGTAACAGGGGGATATTCCTGAGGAAAAATTCTTTAAATGAATGAGACAAAGTTTCAATAATTAGAGAAGATCGATCTTGTCCAATAAAGGTGTTTTATTCTCAGGTAACAGCGTTCGAAGACGCAGATCACAGAGTAAACCCAAGTGAAAGGCAGCTCCCCTTATATAACTTAGTGTGGATACAGGAAAGAAAAAGGCCACTGTGTTTCTTATCAGCAACAAACAAAGAGGTTCTGATTTACTCCTCAGTCCTCAAGGAGATCCCATGGAGAATCTCCAAAAGGACAGGGCCATGCTTATTCTCAGGAGACAGGAAGGGCCCCATGTGGACGGACCAAAAGGAGAATCTTCTCTGGAGATGAGTGAGGAAGACACAAAGGACCAGTCAAATCATTCCAACGATAAACAGGAATGGGAGAGTCATCCTGGATTGGATTACGGAAATTGTTGCATTTCCTACTGGTGCTGAAACCACAGACATGTGAGACGACTCTCCCCAAAGGAATTAACAACCAATTGGTTGTTAAAAGAGAAAAAATCTCCAAAGAGGTGACAGCAGGAGGGGGGCGGTTCTGGGACCCTTTAGGCCCCCCGTGTGATGCTTTAAGGGGCTTTAGGTCAGGGGGGGGATCAGCATCTGTAAGTGGTAGGTCCTCCAGGAGTCCTCACAGGCTTCAAAGCCATGCCGTTTCTTTGGCGAATGTGGGGGGGCTGACCCTGGATCATCTTACAGACCGTCAGTCTGTGTTCAGATGTCCTTAAGAAGCCTTGTGAAGGGTCAGGATCTGAACCTCTCCAGTGCAGGGTCCGTTATGCAGATCTTCGTGAGGACTGACGGGCTTCTGGGGAGCTCACAGTCTGAGAGGGTGGAGGAGGGTTTTCTGGGGAGGACATTGAGGTTGTGGGTTTATAAAGATGGACTAGCTCCTTGTTTATCTAATGGAAAGTGGAAAGAGTCACTGTCAGACTGACAGGCGGTGGAAACATCATGCTGTGGGAGCGTTCAGCAGCTAAAACGTGTTTGATGTTAAAAATATTTGCTAAGAGTTCCTGTAGAGACCACCAGGACTAACGGCTGAGCAGAGACTGGGCATTCTTCAGAGCCTTTTAGAGCTTATCACTGCAGCAAGGTGCTGGAAAGTGGGGATCCCAGAATAAAAAGAGCCCAGGACTGGGTCTGCTCATCTGGACTAACATCTGTGTCTCAGAGAGACTCTGGCTGGTCAGGAACAGGCTCCCAGAGGAGGAGAACAGGAGGAGGAGGGTCAGCCAGGAGGAAAACAGATTCTGATGGATTCAGAGGGCTGGAGCAGAGAGGGAGGGGGCAGCCTCACTGCCTCTATCGCAGCAGCCGGCTGACTCACACACACACACACTCACACACACTCACACACACTCACAGGCAGCTGCAGCTGCTGCTGGTAGGAATCAGAGCGCCGCGTTCCCCCTGAAGCTCAGACTTCTCTCTGCCTCCGTCCGGCCGCTCTGCCTGAGGATCCAGCCCCCGGCCGGAGGACCGGAGCATGGACCATGCTGCCGCAGGGTGAGTGTGTGCGGGGGGGTTTGTGTGTGAGGTCACCTTTACGCCGCGCTGCAGGGCTGCAGCCGGAGCAGCCGGCCAGCAGGGGGCGCTGAGCTCCGGGGTTCAGAGCGGCTGCTGCTCAGCCCCCCCGGCTGCTGCTGCTGCCTCCAGCAGGGGCTGGACCGGGCCCGGCCCCCCCGGGGGGGGGGGGGGGGTCCAGGGCTCTCTCTGAGGATGAGATGAGTCCACCAGCAGCTGGAGAAACAGGAAGGGTTGCTTACTGCACAGCCCCCCAGGAGCCAGAAACATCTCATGAACGTCCCAGAGTAGAACACAGGGTCCAGAGGAAGGTTCTGCTGTTCCTCCAGCATGACTCAGCCACCCCAGCTGGACCAGACTGGACCGGACTGGAACAGGCTGGACCTTTACCAGCAGTGGGGGCAGCGGTGTACCTGCTGACCCCTGTAATGTGGTGGTCCAGCTCTGTTCTGCTGTCTGAGCGGAGCTGACCGGGGGGGGAGCCGTGGAGCCGGCTGGACATCCTCATGGGGCCTCAGGATCTCAGCAGGTTTTCACTGTGTCCACTCTGAGGAGCCAAGCTAACTGGACCTAACGGGCCCTGGAGCGGCGGCTGTTTGGGGGTCAGGATTCACCAGCTCGCCCCCCTCTGGAGACACCGTCATGGAAACATTTCCTGTTTCAGGTCACGACTGTGTTCAAACATGGGAAACGGGCTCTGAGCCACACAGTCCAGCAGAGAATCATCAGTAAGCTCAGAACCGCTCCCAGCATGTGGAACCATTCAGGAACCCTCAGAGAGGAGGGTCAGACAGACTGCCAGTCTGTGGCCGGTCTGGGGTCTTTGGGGGTCAGCTTGGGGGGGGCAGTGGGGTCTGTT